CTCTCCCTCTCCCTCTCCCTCTCCCTCTCTCCTCTCATTTGTGGTCTTGGGGATTGAACCCAGGACCTCCACACTGAGCTATGTCCCCAGCTCACTTTTCCTCTTTGTTTTGAGGCAGGCTCTTACTTGAGCCCCTGCCTCTGCCCGCTGGACTGCTGGAACTGCAGGCACCACCGGGCCCAGTATCTTTCTTTGATGTGACTTCTCAGTCCCCACTGCACTGGCATCCGTCCACCTAGACCCCAGGATTGCTCTCTGCCCATCCCCTTTCAGCTCCACCCCAGGGCTTGAGGGCTCAGCCTGGCCGGAAGCCCTGAAAGTGCCCACCTGTGCCCAGCTCAGTGCCTATGCCATGGCTGTTCCTTCCCCTCAAAAACGCTCCCTTGCCAGGTCTCCACCTGCGACCTTTACTCTGAGGCCCACCCTGGCCTCCCGCCTGCCCATCTTGCTCTCTCTCTCTCTTTAGCACTGCCCACCTTGCTGGATGTTTTCTGTCCCTTGTTAGCTGTCGCCTCCTCTGTTACAATGACAGTAGTTCCTTCACTCAACTCTTTGCCTGCCACACCACGGGCACCCAACAAGTGGAATGTATGGCTTTTTGAGCACTTTGGGCCCAGCCGGACACCCCATCACCCCTCCATTCCAGAGGTGAAGAGCCAGGGGTCTGTGCAGTGTCACCAATGGATTCTACAGGCAGGGGTGCATTTCTTTCCTTAAACTGGGGAGCGTTCCTGTTTGCCAAGGCAGACCTGAACAGAACCTGAGGACACCAGGGGCCGGCAGAGGGACTGGCGAAGTCACCCCCTCTCCCCATATGAATAACTACTTATTCTAGTCTCCTGGGCTGTTGCGATGACCTGCTACAAACCAGAAGGCTTAAAGTGACAAACAGAAAGGTACGAAGTCCATTCTGAAGGCCAGAACCTGCGATCAGGGCACCGACCCGGTGGGTTCTTTCTGAAGGCATGGGGAACCCCTGCCCTGCCTCCTGGCAACATTTGTTGGCTTGTAGAAGCCTCAGCCAGCTCTCTGCCCTGGGGTGTTCATGGTTGTCTGTGTCTGTCCCTTTATACAACCTGCTGTATGTAAAGACACCAGCCATGTAGACCTCATTTTTACATGATTACTGCTGTAAAGGGAGTGGTAGTGCACACCTATAATCCCTGTGATTTCGAGGCCAGCTTGAACTACATAGCCATAGCGAAACTGTGCCTCAGAAGGGGGTGTGTGGAAAAGATGGCATTGTCTTTAAAAAAAGAAAAGAAATCAAGGAATATGATATCTTAGAAAGCAAAAGAGGTAGTTTATGAACTCTGCAACCTGATTGTCTTTTTACAGTCTTCCTGTGAAAGAACTAAACGTATTTTGAGAGAAGAGGTAAGTCTCAGACTCTAGGCATAGTTAGATCAGCTTTTTTTTTTTTTTTTTTTTTTTTTTTTTGCACCTGGGATCAAACTTGGGACCTTGCGCTTTTGAACAAGTTGGCTAAACCACTGAGCTAAATCCCTGGTCCTAGGTAGGCACTTTTAATACAATCTAGCATCAAAACACACCAATACAACCTAGTGGAAAGTAGTCGTGACAATATAGCATATGTAACTAAAACCACAAGTATTACAAAACTATCCATATCCTGAGTGATATACTCTGGAATTTCATTCTATTCCATTTCCTCTGGGGATGGGTTGGTAATGGAGAGCAGACCCAGGGGCACTGTACCACAATGCTACCTCCCAGTCCTTTTTATTTTGAGATAAGGTCTTGCTAACTTGCCTAGGCTGGGCTTCAGCTGTGGTGTTCCTTCTTCAGTCTTCTGAGTAGCTGGGAGTACAGGCACACACACCTGAGTCCAACCTCCCTTGACTTCCCATTTTTATTTCCAGTACCAGGAATCAAACTCAGGACCTTGAGCTTGCCAGGCAGGCACAGTGCCACGGAGCTAAATTCCTGGCCCTTGACTTCTCATTTTTATAAAAGGCATCTTGGTGCTTTTCTGTTAGGGCCAAGACATTCCCCCGGTCTTCTGAGGACCAGCTCTGGAGCTTCCCTCCCTTCCCCAGAGAAGTACAAACTGCTTGAGTGAGCCCATACTGAGGCCAGGGGGTAGGAACCCCGGTCAGTGACCATGCTGAGATGGCGTGAATTAGCCCCATTGGGAGAATGGACTAAACTGCAAGATTCAGAGTCAAGGCAAAACTTGATGACACTCACTGCCCCCACCCAAGGCTCCTGTTTTCAAGGCTACATTTGTGTGGACACAGCTGGCTAAGATTTGTCTCCCCCACCCCCACCCCCACCCCAAGCAATGTGAGGCTCAGATCTCAAATAGAAAGAGACTACTGCGAGATGAGGAAGACACAGGACCTTCGCATTTTGAGGCATGTTTTCATCGTCTTTAATACCTCTCCCAATTATTTACATCATATCCTGTGGGGTTCTTTTTATACACAATGAAATGCTTCTCATTGTATCGGGCATTCTCAATGTGCATAGCACATACATCACATTACGGATTGGCACCTGTATAAAACTACAGACAGATTCTGAAACAGTGGTAGATACAGAAACCCCAGATCCCCATCACAGCAACATGAAAACATTACAATATCTCAAAGGTACAAGAACATCCCTGGATGCATCCCCCACAATGTGGGATGAAATATACATGTCAAGTTACAAGTGACAAGATGGAACCCTGCCCTTAAAACATGTTAATCCATGACAATTTGACTGGACTCTGAGATGAGACATCTCTTAAGAACTGAATGCATCCAAGTCAATCATGGTTTGTTTCTAGGTGAATACATTAAACCCAAGGTCCAAAGTTATCCCATCACCACCACCACTGCTCAACAGCACAGAGATCTTTGACCATAGCTGGAGTCTAGGGCCTGGTTTAAAAAATAGAAAAACTGTATTACACTGCAATATCGTAAGACTTTGAAAAGCAGCAGTTTAAGATGTGTGGTCCTGTCTCAGTGGCTTCTTTCTTACAGGCCTTGGTTAAGAATAGTATTTTAAGTCAATGATGACTTGGATTTGAACAAAGGGTTTGCACAAGGAATGTGAAAGACAAAAAGTCCGATCAGATTTTCCAGTCTTGCTGTCTGTAGAGTCCCATAAAGTTAATTCGGGAGACAGTTCAGAAACATCCTAGAAGAGTCTTAAAGTCTTGGCGAAACATTCAGAGCATTTCTGGTAGCAAGCTAAGGTCATTTTGTATAAACTCTAAAAAGTCATTCATTAAAATTAAATGTTTGCCATCACCTCAGAACTTTTTTTAAACCTCACCAACCCTGCCTCTTCCATCTTTATTCAAAGACAGGGGTTACATTTGTAAAATATATAAAGGAAAATATAAGGTTACTTGGTGACCATATAGTGCACTCGAACAGCTGTCTGCAAATATTTTCACCATGATTGCCCTTACTAAAAGTAAATCACGGGGTAAAGATAGCTCAAACGTGACAAGGTTCGAAAGGGACGCACCAACGCTTTCTGCAGTACTCTTTGGCTACATATGGAAGAAAAGCCACTTGGGATGGCGAACTACACCCGTCGGATTCTGGTGCAGAATTTGCCAGGGCTTTACAGGCTTATGAGGTAGATGTTAAATGCGAGTGTGCAGGGAACATACGGGAAAGCAAGCGTGTTCCTGCAGGTGAATGCTACATCCAGTGTCCTGTACAATTACATGGACATTTTACCTAAAAACAATAGCTAGTCTTAGCCCAAGGCACCCCATGCACAGGGAAGCCTGGGTTGTTTTCTTTTTGGTTTTGTTTTTTTGGGTTTTTTTTTTTTTTTTCTCTTACAGATCTATACATTCTATTGCATTATCAGAAGAATGTCCTATCACAAATTATACTTCATCACTAGGTTTTGGGTTGTGGTGCAGATACACACCATCTTGTCCATTTCCAGCCTCTCCGTGGGATATCAGTTCCTTTCCGTGGATTTTACAAAACCATTTTGTCCTTCCCCAGTGGCTCCCACAACGTGGGCTGTGGCTGATCCAAGAAAGGCAAACCGGAGTTTATAAAGTTGTCTAAGGGTCTCCCCCATCTGGTAGATCGAGGAAGATTGACTACAGCAAAGTTCAAAGGTCAGCGTGGCAGATCTAAAAACAGAGTGGCAGTGCGGACTCGGACCACGCACTTTCTTGGCAGAAGTAAACTGATACGTCCTGATTCATGGCGAGGAGGTAAGGTACAAAGGGAATGGGCGCTGCAGGATGCTGGCCGAGGGGCAGCCTGGCTTCCAAAGACCCAGGCAGGCCTTTCCAGACAATGATGCTGGAGGCCATCAGAATTTGATGTCACCATTTTAAAAAACACAAAATAGCAGCACGCTCATGACAACTTTTTGACAGTGAAATAAATCCGACGGTAATATCTATCCCCTGTTGTACCAGAAAGGTCAAGAGTTGCTCTTTTTTTTTGTTGTCGTTTTTTCTCCTTTTTTTCAGAAAAATATGAAACACACTCACAGAACCATAAATAATTTGATGGCAATATATACATATTTAAATAATTAATTTAAATAGCTTACACCTACTCTTGCATTAAACTCTCCACTCAAAGAAAGTGCTCCTCCTGGAGGCTTCTGGAGACCGAGGCAGGGTTCTTCTGGAGGGTCACAACCTGGGGAGAAAGTGGGTGACCTTCATGGTGGGGGACACTCGGTTCCCCTTCTTGGTCCTCCCGTTCTTACTCAGGGCAACAAACATGCCAGGGTAGGCATGAGACTCGTAGGCATTGTAGTTGTTGGGTAGAAGGATCTCCTTGAACTTGCACTGGTCGGTGAAGAAAGGCTGGAAGGGAGAGCACAGTGTGAGCCGGGCCAGGAACGGGGTGGGGGGGTCTCCCCTGGGCAGCTGAGTGTCAGGGAGAGGATGTGGTCAGCCCACAACAGCTGGGCCATAGCCACCTGCCAGGCACCTAGCAGCCAGAGGGCTGAAGATTTCATCTCCACTGTGTCTTGCCCCCTGGGACCCAGCCTTTGGGTACAGACAAAAATATTCATGGCCCCTTGTCAATGGGCTGGCTGGTGCCACCTTGGGATGACAGGAAAAAGGAGGGCAGCTCCCTTTGTCGGGGCTGGACAAGGGGCCCTGGACATGTCAGAGGATGCAAGGGCCTCATTGCCAGCTCTGTAACCTGGTGACCCCACCACTGCCCCCTGGCCCTTATGTTTGGTGGAAGGGTTGGTTCCTTGTGCCCCCAAGGGGTCACAATCTTCCTGGCCCTGCGTGCTCCTAGTCCCCAAATGGGTGCCAGGTGTAACTCGGAAGCACTCACCGAGCCGTAGAGCTTGCCCTTGCTGCTCATGGCCAGGAAGAGTCGGCTGGCGACTCCGAAGATGCTCACCACCCCGCGCTCCACCGGGGATAGTTCCAGGAGGCCTGGGGGGCAGGGCACAGGTCATTCGGGGCAGGTGACCCTTGGCCCACAGTCCCTCGGCCTGTGTGCACCTCTGGGGTCCTCATATCTCTGGCAGGCAAGGAGGTAAAGAACCCAGGGTCCCCAGCACAGGCCGCCCGCAAGGGTCTCTGCGTCCCCTCTCGTGTCCCAGCTGTAGCATCAGCGCCCAGTCCATGATGGCAGAGTGAGGCGGCCCCTAGGCCGGGCCCCAGCCTGGGCGGGAGTCCCGGGCCCCCGCGAGTGC